GTTCAGCCGCATGCACGTTACCTAGTGTGTTCAACGCAGTTTTTTGCGCTGGCCACACTATGTTTCCATTGTTCCGTTGCGGATTCGTTGATGTCGACCTTCACTATCTACATTTTCGAGGACACATTTGTTGTGGACCTGAATTCCTCTACTGCGCGTCTCTGGATATTTTGGATACGCGGCCATAGGCATCTCAAACTAACAAACAGGACTCGGAGCTTAGCAGTACCACCCCCATGTACCTACCATCGGAAGCTGACCACGCATATACTGCACTAAGTCATGGCGGCATATAAGCAAACGTCATGCGTTTTTTTAGTTATGGTTACTTGTATGCCACCCTGCTTGGTCGGAATATGTGGCAGCACCTTCAGGTTCAGTGAGCGTTTTCGGACGGAGTACGCTTTGCACAGTGAGTGGTGTAGTGATCCAGTTCACACATACTTTCGTCGTTCAAATTGAAAAGATACGGTTATTGCCCATGGCAGCAAGCTCGAACGGTCGTCTTGACCGTCGGAGTGCTGATACTACCCACGTACTGTTTTAGGGGACCCACTATGATTGACAAGAATGACACAGTAGGCCATATGTATGCCCTCACTTGTGAGTAGTTGCAGTGTCGCGACACGACTGAATGCTGATGATCCGCAATAACGTTGCAAATTGTGCACCTATCCTTAAGTGAGAATTTTGTGTCGTGAATCCACTTTGACTGCCAATGTACGTAAACCTAGTTATTTCTTGACTTGTCTTCCTTAAACTGTCTGCCTGCGAGTCCCTGTTACCAGTGACAGGACATTGACCAAAAGTCTGAATCCCTCAGGGTCAGTGAAACTTATTATGGGAGTACAAAAACACGAGGGAATAGAGCCCGTTTATTTCAGAACAGAAGCATTTAAAAAACTTGACCCTCTAGCGACACGTGATCGTCCAAGCATGGACTATGTGATGAGTCAGCTAGTGGCCTGTGTTCCAAAACCAAGTGAAAACGCAGTTTCTTACTATTTTCGAGACGCATTCTTAAAATCCTCGTAAGGAGGGGGTTATCGCAGGGATGGTACAGGCAAGTTTAGGCCCGATTTGGAATACCTTAACACATGAAGGCCATGAGAATGGAAGCCATGTCAAATTAGAAATGGTCTGCATCCATCAATGGAAATTTATACCCAGCGTCATGACAACATCCACCGGGGACTGCTGATTCTTTCACTGAATGAAAGATTTAGCGAGATGTTTGTTGGTTGGTTTACTAGGTGATCATAACTCAGTCGGTTCACACACTGAAAACAAGGTGCCATCCCTAAACTTTATTTGCGTTCTCACGTTGCGATACAGAAATTTCAACAGGATGGAGCTCGCATAGAGCGCACAGCTAACCCGTATTTTGAAGGATAAGAATTTCCAAAGTGTATTCTGGCAAACTTCGTTTAACGATGACGGTCCTGAGATCGCTACTTCCAACCGTTAAAGCCGATTGACTTACGATCAAATCGTCTTAGCAAATTTGCAACGAAAGGAACGTTTAGTGGAGCACGGTTCAACAGGTTTTCGATGGAGTTTTGGCGTGTGCCTTAAATGAAGCTGTTCAATTGGCTTTCTGTTTAGGAGTTTGTCAGTGCTAAAGGTCATTCTTGACAATCGTGCCTATGTGCAGTCAAACTCAGCAGTGTTTTCAGTCAAAAACCTATTTACAGTTTTTCAGGTGATGCAAAAATATGGCGTTGTCATTATTACTAGCTAATTTATATGGCTCAAGCATCAAACAGTGATGTGGTTTGGATTCAACACCGTTAAATATGGAAAGCTACGTCGGTGAGTTCGGAAACCTTGTTAATGAAACCAGAAAAGTGGACAATATTGTGCGGATTTCGTGAACTTAGTACTCGTTTGCTCACATTTACATCTCCGTGAAATGTGCGAGGAGTAGACATACTTGGTGGGCGCAACGTCCTTTGGATTGAGATGGTACAAATTTGTGGGTGAACCCGATTTTTTCAAAAGTTGCGCATTAAACCTATCTTGTCCAGACATTACCGGAATGTATTTTTGAAAATTCTGGTGTTTGTCTGGTGATTAGTAGTTACATTCATGTTTCGAAATTAAAACTGAAGCACTACGACCCACGTTGAGTGCAGCGAAATTGCTGTAATATGTAAGACGACTTCCATCGAAGAATATATCAGGCGCCAAAGGCTTCCTTGCTTAGGTCATGTATCGCGCTCGCTGAACAATCGTTCGATGTGTTCCGCGGCAAATTCAACTTGGCGGAGCCAGAGGTATGGTTATGCCTTGACCTAGCAATGCTGCGGAAATGAGGTTACGAAGACTCTATACGCTGTCTGTGTGACTCGCCTTCTAGGGTGGGGACAGCGTGAAACCAACGCACATTGTTAGGGACGCTGCGAGATATGTCTGGTAATCTACGCCAATGGATTTCCTGTCAATTTTCTATCCTGAATCACTGTGGGATCCTCGTAAATTTTGTGATAGGTCAGCGTCAACTCAACTTGTGTTTTGTTTTTCATAACCGGAATTTCAAAGCTTTATGCTTGTACGGTAGCGAAGCGCATATGTTTAGTACTGAGGTTATGCCGTAGATGATGATGATGATGATGATGATGATGATGATGATGATGACGATGATAATTCCACATGTGTGCATCGATGTCCACATGATATCGCCGTTTTAGGGACCCTTGTGCCGAGCAAGTTCATCAGCAACTATGCGTGTTTTATTAGCCCTCCCCTTTTTCTCTTAATATTCCAGGAATTCAGAAGTTTGCTTAGAAAAAATGGCTAACGAATGATTTTGTCTTGAGAATATTTCTGCCACTAGAACACTGATTGATCAATTTTGCATGATGGTGATGGCGTCCCCCCATTCAAAAACCCTACTTGACTAGAGTTGTTGATCATGCTAATTGCTTCCTCCGTTGGATTCATAAGCTGGTTGCGTGAAACTTAACTTGATCAAACTGATACCAAGGGCGATTTGTTATCCATAGATGCGATGCATATGCAGAAGCATTCGCTCAAGTCAATCGGCGGTGCGAGATTATGACCGTCGACCTTACTCATTCGCGTGCCCTTCTTTTGAACGATTCCGATACCAACGTGTCCAATGTTTGTAGCTATGTGTCAAACATTGTTTCCAATTTTGGGTTTGTTTGGTAACTGAAGTTCACTTTAGTTATATGATTATACTGCTTCCTGAAATTTCATTCCGTTGACTGACGAGACGAGTGCGTGCGTAAATACCCAGCTCCATGTTGACAAAATCGATCAACTTTAGAAATTCTGATCAGCTAGATGTGAATTGTTGGATTGTCTTTGGAGGGTAGGTGACCATCCAATGATTGTTTGGGTTGGGAAATGTACCAAATTTTCTACTATGTAAACGAACAAAACACGATATTATTATTAAACATATTTATTTTGGGACGCAGCCTCTCACACTACGGATTGCAATTAAACTGCTGCGCGATAAATCGCAAACAGAACTACAGGGGACTAATGAGTTACGCGGGGAGGAACATACTGTAGGTAAGAACTACAGGGGACTAATGAGCTACGCGGGGAAGAACATGCTGTAGGGCCAAGAAAGCAGGATGCCGGAAGTTGAGTAGTTTTGGACGATGTACGATGTAGAGCAAGGGTGGTTTAGAAGACAGAAAAGTCCCAGAAACATCATTTGATAACTAATGGACAGGTTAGCTTATTGCATCGAATGAGAGTCGCAGAGGAAGAATTATTTTGCATTGTCGCATGGCGATCGGCTGAGCTTTCGAAGCCCTGTGAACAAGTCCATGTAGTTGCAAGCTTCTGTTGATTTAAACCAAACTGGATTTTGCCGAATTAGTGTTAACTCAGATGATCAATATTACACTTGCATGCCGAAGACTTTGCTGATACTTCTGCATCTCTGATGATTCTGCGGAACATTTGTAAATCTTGAGCATGTGGCTTACAAAATCATAATAAGTAGCAATAAGATTATGCCTCGATGGTGCTGCGTTTCCGAGAATTCCTGTGTACCGTTGGCAAAACCGTATGTAAATTTCCTTAGGAGTCTTACGGCAAATTATGTCCCGAATAATCGGCGGGGGGGACTTACCGTTAATTTATTAGTAGTGTTTCGGCGCTGCTCTTGTTTACTACCGCCGGTAACAGGAAAATAAATATCAATGTAATGGTAGAAAGCTTCGCGTATAGGAATCAGGGAAAGACAATCGATTTGAGCGTACACCAGGGTAACCGCCTGAAAGGGGCAGGTCATCCTGTTGCAGAAGCAACATTCGAGTTTCTGTTCAGTTATGACCGAAGGGTAAACATTCCCGAAGTTTTGGCTCAAATGTCAAGGCAAGAAAACACATTATTTTACGTGGTGTATTTTCTTTATAGCATTTTCTGGGCGTTAGATTGTTATTAGCTATAATCTGGATTGCGACAAAAATTTACTGCATTCCTATGTTTAATCCAGACCTCTTCAATCAAAAAGGAACTCCCGCTCTGGTTCTCCTCGGTTTTACTATATATGTGTGCTGTGAAAGTAACAGTAATTCGTTCATGGAAATTCATGTCAACTTTTGTTTTTTCATAACTAATCTCAAATTTGACAATGTGAGATCCTCCCAAACTAAAGGGACATTTCGGGACAGGGTGGCGGTGGTAATTTGGGATCTCGTTTATCTTTAACACATTCCCTTTGACGATTTTTCAAAAATCCGGTGCGTAGAATTATGCGGAAAATAACCGTAGTTGTGTGCCGTGACGTGGATCCTTCTCAGTTGAAAGCAGTCGATAATTCCCCACCCTGGAATTGTGGATGTCACATTGGGCAGTCACAGCATTTGTCAGCATGTTTCGATAAATAAATTGAGAAGCTGAGAAGACCGTCACTCATAGAAAACAAACTCATGTAAGTTTATGAACTGAACGGCTAGCAAAACAGTAATCAGTGTCGCTAAAAGCATACATTGTCTGACCATTACCACACTTACCACATGCGATCCAGCGAATGCCAGACCAGGCCTACCTGGAAAAATAAGCCGTTATTAGGAAACCACCAGATATTGGAAATTGTCGCAACGTTCTTAGAAGCAACATGATCGATAAACTAAGCTAAACTATTCATTTTATAAGCATATATTGATTGAAAAGAGGCAGGGCAGTCAGGAGCACATTGATCGTGCAGAACAATAGAGAAAAATACTACCCGAACATGCGCGGCCTTGAAATTGTTGTCCTAGGTTTTATTAAACTCCCAGTGGACAGGTGGGCTTGTGTTATCCAATACGATCCAGCTTGTTTAACTCATGGTTATACTTTCTCATGTGAGTGAACTTCATGCATGTTTTTGTTTAGGTGGCCGAAATAATAGATGAAGACGATAAAGAATTCATCAAACCCACTAGAAAGAGACTGGGTCCAATCGCGAACTAGTTTTTCTTGTTCCCCTGCAAACTACTGATTTGTGCGTCAGTGGGAAGTTCATTTATCCACCCACAGGATATATCGTACCGAGTTGCTCAGCGCTTAGAGACCTGGCGAACATAGACTCCTAGTCTGTCAGGTTGGATCAATCGCAGTAACTTGTCTCGTAAGAGCACTTGTATGTGTCAAGTAGAGCCAGATAGGGTTGGTGCGCTGATATTAGAGAAACCTCGTATACAAACAGGCACATCAGAACCAAAATTAGTACCATGCCGCATTCAGTGTAATAAACTTGATCGCCTTACTTGCTTCATACAGAAAGACGGCTTAAAGAACCCACGCTCCAGATGATGGCCTTCCTGCACACTTTCTGTTTTCCCTCGGCAATCCTACCTCAGCCCGAATTGAATATTCCGTCCAGTGGTTCCAGTAATAGGACTGACCGCTTTGTTTACCATGTATTCTGCCTAGCTGCAGCTTGGCGCATCCAAGTTCACAGTAAATTCGAACACCTGCAGTTTTGGTTTCAAACTAGGAAACCAGTTTTCACAACCACCTCCATTTTTCGTTCACGGAAACTAGCTCTTGCTATCTATTGATGCGTGCTTTCCGTTCAAAAGGGACCAAGTTCACTAGTTTCGCAAATCAAATGACCGCTCTCTAGCTCCCTTTTCATTTCCAACCACGCAAATTGGCTGACACAGAGGCCACTAAAAATGGATATACCGGCAAATCCAACGTGTTGAGGTATGGAGGAGGGACTTCATCAATCAACTGAATACTCGCTGATAGTCATCCCCGCGAGGACCGTTTAGCAAGTCCAGAGTAAGAACATTGAGAATGGTAGGCGGCTTACTCACTGTGTATTGTACCTCCCTCCGACGGCCTACAACCTCGAGGCGGTCAACGGGAGTTATTATGACGCTCCAGGCGCTCTTCGAAAATGGCCTACAAGCTCAGACCTCATTGTGTTTGCCGCCCAATCGACATCGTGGGTGCTGCTGAGGCCCAGTTTGGCGGATATTTGAGAGAAACAAAGTTCGCCCGCGTCAGATTCATGCCGGTGACAGACTGTTTCTTCGCAATGCCTATTTCCGGAAGTGGTCCTTGAAATCTTGTGGCCCACAAAGGAACCAGCTGCGTGATCACATCGTACTCACTTAAGGCTGGCGAGGCTCGATTGCTGCATGTCGCTTGCCATGAGATATCTGCGTGAAATGCGATCATGCACTTTTCCGTTGATAATGTTCTCTGCGCTTTTCAAGCCTACACTAAGCCGCACATTTCAGTTGGCTACTGAAACGCTCATGCACACAGCAGTCTAGGACTTCACGGACTCATGACCACTGAAGGACCCAATGTCCCATTCTCTGTTGCACAGTCGATCAGATCGCATCAGTCCGATGGGACCGTGGCTTTCGTGTCACTGAAACTAGCAGGGGAAAGAATGGCTCTCTGATGTCCAACAAAAAGGATTGTTTGGACCATGGGGCACTGTAGTTCAGAAAACGATGCAGCTGACTATCTGCTAAACTCACTACAACATCTGTGTGTGAAGCTACAGCAATGTCGGAATTGTCTGAGTTTGCATCTGCTCAGACGTCTTTATGCTTTTCGTCCAAGAGACCTTTAATCTTAGGAGCGAGCGCTGAGTTGTTCTAATAATGTGGATGTCCAATCCGTTGCCAGTGAGTCTACAGACACCATCCTCATCGTATTCAGGGACGAAGAGAGACCACAAGCTCTGCCGAATAAATTGAACCCTAATTTATAAGATGTTCCGACCTACGAGTTGGAAATACGGAGTGCATTTTTCTTATTGGTGGCGTGCAGAATTCATGTGCAGTTGTGCACATCTTGGTAGATGTAATTGCTCTGACGGAAGTGTTCGGATGGGCACGAATTTCGGGTTTAAGAAGCTTGTTTGCAGACTCGACTCATTTGAGGCTCATAAAAGACATGCCACCGGACCTTGAGTGCCCCAGACTTCAGGCAATATCAACGGCTGCATCATTATATCTTTGAGATACATGACCTCTTTAGACGGAAGTTGTGACAGCGATTTCCTTCGCCAATTTCACAAAACTACTGCTGGGAGCGGGTGCCGTCGACGAACTCGGGTAATCGAGAAACGGTAATTTGGTTGTGTAGCAGGTACTTCGGTCACGCAAAAAACATCCATGGCGATGAATTCGGGCGACCCGGCCTAGGGGTACGCATGTCAAAACTACGTTTACTGAGACAAATGCTTTCCGTTTCACTTTACAACAGGGAAGACTGTGGGATGGCCAACGTGGGTGAAAGAGATCACAAAGAGTGTGGGTTATGATGATGTGTCACACTTTCCGGAACAGGGGCCTCACACGACCGCTTTCATGCTCCTGGCTGTGGGAAGAACGAGAAACATAGCCTAATCAATGTGGATGGCGTTTGCGCTGTCAGTTTCATTCCACCTGGAAAAGTTTGAGCACCTTAGTTTCTTAAAAGATCCCGCGCTCCCTCATTCATTTTTCTCCTCCCTTCACTTTAGCGACAATTAAATAATCATTATGGTTACACGCCATTGAAGCATAGGTGTCAGCATTGATTTTGATGTCTCTGGTGCTGATGATGATCAATGTGGCGAGATGTAAGGAGAGAACATTCAGCTAATACCACTCGAACTTGAGCCACGGAAACTGGCTAAAAAAACCATCTAACATTTTCCAATTTTGGCTGGTTAAACGGTGCTTTGGCAGTGTAGTGGTAGGCACAAAGGTGTACTGATTGTTGAAGTACATCCTGGCTTGACCATAAGTGCGCTGAGGTTAAAAGCAATTCATACTCACTGGAATAACACAATTTTCTGCTACTGGTAGAGTTCTGTGTTGATTCTAAAAGGTTGATTATCGATCTGTCTGTAGGATTACGTTTTTGACCATTAACGGACTGGCACGATACAGCGAAAGCAATTTTGTCTGGATGGTTCATTTGCTGCAAAGCCGCATTTATTCCCATGTTTTAAAAGAAAACATCTTTTTCAAACCAAAGCGTGATATTGGGAAGGTCACAAGTATGTGACTTAATTTCGTAGTACTTCACGAGTTTCCTAATGCTAAAGCCTGAAAATGATTATACAAGTAAATGCGTTGAAAGTGTTCGACGGAATCAGTGCGTTGCGAAAAGTATCAGTTCGTTTTCCTCTTGGAAGCACGTTTGGCAATCTGGGTCGTACTCAGGCCTAAGAACGAGACTGTAGTTCACCCTAGTCAGGAAACTTGGTTTCTACCTAAGGACATCGGGAACCCAGCACTAACGATGAACATATGCTGCATCTGCGCCTACAAGTATTTATTTCTGGAAACTCACAACAAAGTTTTACATAGCGAAACCGTGTTATTTTCCGAACCCCTTGGGGTCCAGGGATTAATTGGTTTAGCATCACTGCCTAAGCCAAGTACTCTTGTTTTCTATCATAATAGCTATTCATCGGTTGTCCTTTTATGCATGGTTTCTGCGAACGCCTTGCTTCGTAATCACACCCGCATGCAAAGTTTTATTAATTTTATAGCGGGTATTGTTCTCCATGCATCCAACCTACCACTCATGTTATTTCCCGTTAACGAGACCAACGGAAAAGGGGCTATCAAAGAAGGGCATGGTTTAAGAAGCGAGCAATAATAGTAGAGGTGTTATGTTAAAGTGCGAACAAGGTGATCCACGAGTAGTCGACGATTTTCAGGTTTCGAAACCTTCACCTACACGGGATTTTACAGTGACGTGTTCACAATTGCAACATTTCTTTCATGGGCCCACGCCCGCACAAGTTGATGCCTTTACTGTGTGTGCTCGATTCCGACAGATATTGCATCGTCCGCACGCCGAAATTTGGACGTCCGATGCCTGTGGTAGTCTCCTGCAACAGACAGCACACTTTGGCGAAACCTGACTAATTCGTATTCGCCATATACGAAACTGCTAACTCCTGCCAATTAATTAATTACGACGCTTCATTGTCTTTACTCAGTTATACTAAACGCACCGCTACGTTATGCAATAAAATAATATGTGCTCTGTAACAGCCACAATGGAACGCAGATTCCACCCGGAGTCCGGTGCAACGGTCGGCGCACCCAACTGTACATTTAAGCGTGCACCAGCCGTTGTGTTCATCCAACGGGATGAACAAAGAAGCTATTTGATACAGGCATCCGATCAAGCCTGTCCATTTGAACACCCGCTTCCATGGGTTTTCATGCGGTCGAAGCAGCTATAATCGAAGTAATATTTTACCTCTTTTGTGATAAAACAGTGAGTGGTGACAAAATCACCTAACCAGGACAGTTTCAACAGTGAGGTCAGTGTTCTGTAGTTCCTCTAAAAAGGAAACACAGATAGACATTGATGCGTCTTGGGCATACACGAAATTTCTGAGAATATTCTGAGAACAGTTTCAAGCGTGGCGAGCGGCGTGATAACTGGGTTGTATCGGGTAAGCTGTAAAATGTAGGCTAGGGGCACGTTGGTGGAATAACCAGTTTAACCATGGTTAACGGGCGGTTGACCGATCAGCTGGATAGCCAGGTAAGGTTTTGTAATCTAGGGTAGGCATTTTTCACTTTGTTTTCGACAGCATTATCATAATGTTTAAAATAGGCGCATCAAGTCATGTGACCGTACGCCATTTTATGTGTCTCTTTTGCGGTCTGTTTTTGGTTGTGAATCCAAGCGCAGCGCTTGATTCTGCCTTTTCTTCTTCTCACAGTAATGACCCAAGCATCCAACCGGATAGAGATTTTTTTCAATTTATGCACTGACCTTTTGTTTATGTACACTTTAACGTGAAAATGTCGGACTTTTGAGAATCTC